CCCTCGCCTCTCCCCTCCCCTCCCCTCTCATATCACCTGTCCATACACTTGGTCCCAGAAACCTCTGCCTCTCCTGATTCAATCTCCTGGCTCTGGATCGGTTGTGCAGCCATTTCTCCTTTCTCAGTGTGGAGGCTGCGGTTACAGGGTGAGGTAACTGTGTCCGGGCCTAGGAGGTAGGTAGGTGCCAGGAGCGCTGGGAGTGTGTGTGGGAAGCTCTCCAAATGCAATGGTCAGGCGCCAACTGCAAGGGGCGAAATGTTCCATTTCATTGAACACGGTTTCAGAAATGGGAACGTCTCAGATACGTGGGGAAGAAAAGGCACGGACCAGTGGACTTGCCTGTGGCCATTGCCCTTCACTGGTTCTCACACGGGACTCCTGTCCACCCCCAACTCCAGATGATGGAGAAGCAAATCCCACAGGATAAAAGGTAAAACTGTATTTATCACCATTTTAGTACTGTCTCTAAAAGATACGTCTTTTTAACAATAACCCTGATATAGTATAACAGCTAAAAAACATGATCAGAAATTCCCTCATGTCATGAAGTTGCAGTTGTGTGGAATGAGTCCTTTAGGTGACCACAGTGCAGAGGTGGACAGGACAGGGAGGCAAAGAAGAATGACCTCCCAGCCCCCTCGGTCATGTGTCTGTTAGAAGGATGGCTCTTCAGTTTCATGAGACAGTATATTTTTGATAATGGCTTTTATGAGATATAATTTATATACCATACAATTCACCCACTTAAAGTTTATGATGTCTTATAGTTAAGTTTGCACACTTGCCACCCTGTGCTTACATTAGCAGCACCGTACAAACAGCTCAGTAGGGTTTCATAACCTTGGTGTAGCTGCACTTGTGTTGCTGTGAGGGGTGCCTTGCTGAGTGGCATTCAGTATCTTTTGTTGTGTGTTTTTGAGACAGTGTCTGAGCTTGAATTAAAACAATGAGTATTGGCTCGGAGCCTATGGCTCAAGCGGCTAAGTGCCAGCCACATACACCTGAGCTGGTGGGTTCAAATCCAGCCTGGGCCTGCCAAACAACAATGATGGCTGCAATCAAAAAATTGCCAGGCGTTGTGATGGACATCTGTAGTCCCAGTTACTTGGGAGGCGGAGGCGGGAGACTCGCTTGAGCCCAGGAGTTGGAGGTTGCTGTGAGCTGAGATGCCATGGCACTCTACCCAGGGGGATAGCTTGAGGCTCTG